ATATATATCTATTTTTAAGTAGAGAGAGAGAGAGAGAGAGAGAAGGGGAGGGGAGAAAAGAGAGAAAATGAAGGAAAAAAGAAGGAATAAAAGATGAAGAAATATCTTGCAGATGCATTATTAAAGACTTACGTTAAATTTTGAATACTCATATTGGAATTCGCCATCTCAAAATCAATCGTTCTGGGCTGATTGATAAATAATTTAATATTTTTCGGCCCATTTTCCGTGGGTGCCCTGATTTTGAGCGAATGAACTTTAACAGGCTGCGAGAATGCAATGGACATTATCAGCTGCTCATCTTCATCACTCTGAAGATATCCATTATCAGAGTTCAAACATTGAGAGAAAGTGTGATAGTCCGACTCGTTTAAGCACTCACACTGCTGCTTCATTATAAAAGTAGACAAGTCAATCTAAAAAAAAAAAGAAAAAAAAAGAAAAAAAAAGTAAAAAGACAATTCTTCAATTAATTAATATTAACAAAATAGATGAAGCAAATATTAAATAAAAATGGAATATAATAAAATTAATATTTTGAAAATAACAAAATTTAATGTTAGTCCAAAGTCGCGATACTAAGTGCATAAAAATTATTTCTACATGCGCGTGCGCGTGTGACTTCCCTCATACATGCACATGTCCCTCCCCTTCCTCCCTCCCTCCCTCTCTCCCACGCACGTACGCACGCACACCACACACATTCATTTTCACGCATTTATAAGAGAAGTATCGCAAGTCTCCGAGACCGATGGAATTTTTCTGAAATATATAAATAAATATATCGTTAAGTGTTATTATTAAAATAGTAAGAGACACACTGTACATAATGTATTAGTACTATATCAAAATGACACCAAATATAAGATTAGTGCAAGTCTATCAAATTCGCTATTAATTATTTCAAATATAAAAATAAAATTAAGTGTCAAAAATTAATAATTGATGAGATAATCGATGATATATTTTAGTATATTTTGAAAAGGCTTATAGTCATTTTGCGATTTTTGCAATAATTAAAAAGTTATTAATTTATACAGATCCGCGAATGAACGAGCTTTCGTACAAGAGGACAGCCCAGCGATATGCACGCTCATGGTTACTAACAAAGTGCACAGCAATATGTTGGAGGCGTACACTATAAACAAATATTCTATCATTTGTAAATCACATTCAACATCTTGCCGCATGCTAACAACCGTAAACGTTATGTAGCGCTGAGCTATTTCTTTGCAAATACTTCCTCATTCGCGGATCTGTATAAATTAATAACTTTTTAATTATTGCAAAATCGCAAAATGGATATAAGAGTTTTTTCATTCGAACCCACTTTACTACGAGGGATGATACGGTTATTATCGGATACTCTGTATATGCATTATAAATGAATGTCCATCATTTGTAAATCACATCATCTTTAAACACCTTGCCGCGTGCGTACATTTGTAGATGCGAACGCGTTCATTCAACGATTCTTATTAATTGATAACTCTTTACTAATTGTGAAATTTGTAAAATAAAATTTGTAAAATTTGTAAGAGGATAAGTTTTAATCCTATACTTATTAATTAATCTACAATATATATTTTAGTGTATATTCTCTAAAAGTTCGGAAACACTAAAATATCTCGAAAACAATCAACTATAGCAAAAAATATGTAAGAAACAAAGTGTGTAGTGCTAAAGAAACCTATTTATTGGTGATAAAAATTTGCCTTTGCGATCAAGTCCGCAAGATCATGTGAAAAGCAAATTGATTTTTTAATTGGAATCCTCATTTTTATTACATATTCTTGTAGCTTATTTCAAGATTATTTCTTATTTAAAATATTATAATAGGGGAGAGAGGAGGTATTTAAAAAATTCAACTTTATATGACTTTGTGAACTCCATTCAAAATCAACCTCTTATTATCATTAAGCACATTACTTTTAGTCCTTTGTATCTTATATATTTTCCACTATAGTTAATCATTTTCGACATATTTTAATGTTTCCGGACTTTTATAAGACCCTGTAAGACGTTCATTAAACTAGTTATAGTAAATAGATTAAAATAGATTAAATTAGATTAGAAATCTTTCTTGTGTAATACAATTTCAGTATATTCTCATTTTAATATAGTATAAATTTTTTAGTAAAAAACATGAATTTAAACAAATTAATTATCCATGTTGCATAATTACGACATTTTTAATATTGCTAATAAAATTATCATTGAATGATATAACAGCACATCATCGACTTTTCATTATTTGTTGTGTTACACCAATAAATTATTTGTTTTATTTATTATGCTGATGGGATTATTCAGATAAAGGTTATTAAATCATTAACAAGTATGCAAGTATCAAAGTTATATTATTTTCTAATACAATATTCTTTAGATGTACATTTTTTGATATTTTGTATGTTATAATTAAATTGAGAAAAAAAAAAGGTTAGGATTATCAACTAGGAACAAATCAAAATCTTTAAGTTACATAAAAAATGCAAAATTTTCAAAGATGTGTTAAAAATAATTGAAATTTAAACTTAATTCTATTAAATTTCATTTCTGTTAATTTCATTTCTGTTAAATTTATATTTTTTTTTTTCTAGATTAATAAGTCGTAATTATTTATAGATATATTTCGAAAATATCTGTAATATTAGATCGAAATATCTACAAATATATTAATCTAGATAATATTATCGAAAATATTCTTTTTAAAATTGTATTTTTATTCAAGCATAAAAATGACATTATAATTTTTGTATACAGGATGTTTAGTTTTATCTCCAATAATATTACATAAAATGTCATTAAACGAAGAAATAAAAATAACAAAATTAATAAAATAGCTCGTGAATAATTTCTAGTTTATGCCAATTTAATAAAAGTTGTTTTAGAGGATGAGAGGACGGCGATAAATTTTTCAAACGGAAACAGAAGTAACATCAAACAGAAGTAACATTTAGACTTCGAATAATCGAATCCAATATATTTCATAATATTAATCTTGGTTTATCTTTAATATTACAACGTAACGACCTTTCCAGTGTCTCTCACATTTTGTTTCTTTTTCGCTTAAGGCAGTCGTTTTCACGTATTGTTGTGATCTCACAGACAGGATTAAATATTCTGTATAAAAATAAAAATAAAAAAAAAAACCCATGGGTGTGAACTTTTAGGGACTATTAATGAAATTGTTAGAATAGATCAAGATTGATTATCACCAGCACATTTAAGACAATTTTAATATTAATTTTTCATTTAATATATTATATAAACATAGTACTTTGATATTTGCATATAAAAAGTTTGGCGCGCACTTAATGATTTTACTTTCTTAACTATAATTAAATTAAATTTTCTGTAAATTACACAATTTATCACCCAATTATAAAAATAATTTTGATTATTATTGTACAAATTATTATTGTACATTATTCAATTTTATTAAAACATTTTTTCTTTTTAGTAAAATAAAAAGTTATAAGATGTATGTTTTGCTATAAAAAATAAGTCTGAAGTTTTTTCATAAAAAAAGTATTTTAAACAAATTAAGAATTATCCATTTATATGCTATCCAGACTATTTAATGTAATTGAATATCTCTATCATAAAATCCCATATTGTGATCTTTTCCATTTTGTGAATTGAATGCTTTATAATGCGATATTTTTCCGTTATAATATTTTTCCATTTATTCTGTGTTACCACATTAAAATAAAAAAACTTATGGAAGACAAAAAACGTACGAAACATTTTCATATTTTGTGAACGTACCACTAAATTGAAAATGTGGTTAAGAAAAGATATGATAAATTAAGAAAAGATATGATAAAAAATGAAAATTCAAACAAAGACATGTTTGTTTCTCCACAATAATAAATATTCAACTACGATGACATATTTGACTACGATATATAACATAGATACGTGAAATAATTAGCGCAATAACAAAATAAAAAATATATTGCTAAATATAAAAATTACTTGATAAAAATTATAAAGAATTAGATTATTTGATAAAAAATTATTAAGAATTTCCAACGCGCAAAGTTTTTAAAGTATAAATAAACATTAAAATTTTATGTGTTTACGTATGATTTATTAAAAAATATATATGTAACTGAACTACACAAATAATGCCAGATTTAAGCTAGAGTAATCAAATTAATTATTTTAATAGAAAATTTCATTCATTTCCGTCTACGATCGATTAACGTTAAAATAATGCCATCAGTAACATAGTAGAAAAGTTTTCATTGATACTTATTCCAATAATACAGAACCATGGCGAGAAAAATCATTCCAAAGATATGATAATAAGCATTATCAATATTTCGTACATGGCCAGGCAGGGAATCCGCGGTCGAGTCATCCACGTCATCGGTATCCCCGCTGCCATAGAACTGCTGGATCTTAGATTCCAATCCCACTGGATCTGCACCTTGGCAATGGCCGAGCCTCGTACATCTACGGTAGAAGACGAAGGTTGGCATTGCGCTAACCTCTTGCATCGAAGCAGTGTCTGCACATTTGTCCACGTCTACTTTCAGGAATATCGCCTTAGAATATTTGAGCGACAATTGTTCGAATATTGGAGCAATTCTCTGACATGGTCCGCACCTGCACAATCAAATCAGACAAGATCGATTATTATAACTTGTCATTCAGGACTTTGGCATGTGACATTTCTCAGCTCGTTACTGAAAGTACAATACATCCATTGCAAAATTAAGATGTATATACAAGTAACAATTATAATCAATAACGTATCAATAACGTACTTTTAGAATATAAAAAATATTTCATTATATCATGTTCAAATCATGTTCAAACTACTCACAAACTATCGATACGACATTTAAATAAAAAGCATCCTTAATAGTTGCTTATCTACTTCTACAGTGTCGAACAAGAAAAAGTTTGTATTTTTTTTTCTTTTTTTTATAAAAAGAAAAAAAAGTAAATATGTTTTCGTCTAAATCATAAAATAAAAATCTGAATTGAATCAAGCATTTAACATTCGCTCTCTTTTTCTTTAACAAAGATGTAAATATACATTTCAAGAAAAATATAGTTAAAAATATTAACTTTTGAAAATATCAACTTTTTAGACTAATCACAAAGAATAGATCTTTTTGTCCGCACCTTTTGAATGTTCCAATATTGACAAAGATATTAAATTAGTTTTTGCATGGTTTAAATGATAAAAGCGATTGAGAAATAATTTAAATTTGTTTTATTTGTCTTTGAAGCTACGATCGGGGAATTATGCTAAGAACAAATTCGGATAAGTAGCTACATGGCAGGGTATGTACATTATAAGTAATCAAAATAATTTCCGAATGACAAATAAATAAGCAATCCTGGACAAATATTGATCTAATTTACAGACTTATGTTTAATATACATATTTAAAATACATAGTATATTTGTATTATATTAATTTAATTTGATGGTCTAAGTGTAAATAATAGCTAACTGATATGAAATATATAAAAAAAAAATATATTGAATATATAATGATGTTTACATCATCATTTATTACTTGTCATCTCTCGAGTTAAAAGATTTAGAACTGAATATACTATTTAATATGAATATTAAATTACCTATATAAATAATTATAGCCTACACTTTGATTGCTAAAAATGAATTGATAAAGTCAATTTAGTTTAGAAAGCAATGTTGACAAGACAGAA